ATTAAATTTATCTTTTAATTTAATATTTTATATCTTAAAATTATATCTATTTATAATATTATATATTTTAATTATATTTTTATTTTTAATTTAATAATTTTATTTATTGTTTTATTAAAATAAATTTTATTTCAAAATTTACAATTTATTTTTTAGTTTTTATATCTTTTTTTAATATATTTTACAATCAATATATAATTATTATTTTTTAATATATAGACATAACATATGATATTTTTATGTCATTTTTTATATATATATTTAAATTATTATAATTTTTTTTAATTTATATATATATTAAATTAATACCATAATTTTTTTATAATATATTATTATTTTTTATCACATTAATATATTATTATTATTATTTAACATAAAATAAAGATAATTTTATTTTTTTTTATAAATATTTAAATTAAAAATAATTTTTTAATAAATTTAATAATAATATTTTTTTATATTGAAATTATACTTTATTTTTATTTTATGTATTTATTTAATTTTAAATTTATATTTATTAAAATAAATTATAATAATTGTTTTTATATTATACATTTTTTTTTTTTTATTTAAATTTAATTTTTTTTTAAATAAATAGTTTTTTTCTTATAATTTTATTCTTTTATAGGCAGGCATTTTTTTATTAATGCTATTCTTTTTTTTTATTTCTATAAATATTTTATCATTTATAATTTTTTATAATATTTTTTTAAACATATATTTTTTCATATTTTTATATTCAAAATAAATATATATTATTAAAATTTTTTAAATATAAAAATGTTTTTATTTAATATTTAATTTTTTTAGATTATTATAAAATAATAATTCTTCAATTTTTTATAAAAAAGAAATTCATTAACTTATTTAATCTTCTTAATCTTAAATTTAACTATTTAAATATTTTTCTATTTAATATTGTAAAATATTGATATCTTATTAATATTAATTAATTAAAATGAGTATTTTGTAAAAAATAAAAAAAAATAAAAGAAATTTTAAAAATTTATATGTATTAAAAAGTATTTATTGGATAATATTTATATACAGTCTATATATAATTTAATATAAATATTCACTTTCTATTAACTAGATAAAAAATTATATTCTTAAAAATATATTATTTTAAATATTTAAAAATAGGATAAATTATATAATTGATATTATTTTATTTTAAATTAAATTTATTTCATTATAAATATAAATAAAAATAAAAATAATAATAAAAATAAAAATAATAATAGTATAATAATAAATAATAAAAAAAGTAATAATAATAATAATAATAATAATAATAATAATATTAATAATAATTATTTAACAATATAATAAAAATAATTAAAGTAATAATTTTAATATATATTTTATATATGAATATATTGAGATAAATTTATCTTTTATCTTTTTTAAAGTTAATTTATATATTTTTTTTTATTTATATATTATAATTATAAAAATATAATTTTTTTTATAATATTATTATGATATTTTTATTGATTTTTAAATATTTTTATTTAATTTTTTTTCATATCTAAATAATATTTAAAATAATTTCGAAATTTTAATTATATTATATAATTTACTTTATTTTTTAAATTTAAATATACTATATTTCATCGAATATAAAAATAAGTTTTTAATAGGCAAATTATTATTTTATTATAAAATTAAAATTAATATTAAATACCTTTTTTTTATTTTTTTCCTTTATATATATTCTTTCAATATATAATATATTTTATATTTTTAACTTATTATATTTAAGCTCATAAAAATTCATATATAATTTTATTAATTTTTAATAATAAATATATTTAAAATTATTATTTTTTAAATTACATTTAAAAATACTACTTAAAATTTTGTAAAAATTTAATTATAACTAAATTTAAATCTATATTAATAAGAATATATATATAAACCAAATATATATAAATAGAAATAATTTATATTATAAATTTAATTAAAGATAGGTTAATAATCCTTTTTAAATAACAATTTAAATGCAAATTATAAATAAAATATTTTTTTATAAAATTGATTTAAATATATTTAAAAATATAGTTTTTTCTTTTATATGTATAATATAAATTAAACAATTTATTTTTTTGTTATAAAAAATGTTTATGGTATATATATTATAAATATAATTTTGTTTAAAGAAAAAATAAATAAACAAATTAATTAAATGTAAAATAATATTTTTTAAATAAGAAGTAATTATAAATAATAGTTATTAAATCTACTTTAGTATTTAATAATTAGTAGTTAATTAAAAAAAACAATTTTTAATTTTTATTTATTCTCTGATACTCTGTTTTTATTCATAGTGTTATTAATTTTTTAAATATTCATAATTTTTTGTTGGTTATTTATTTAAAAACAGATAATCTATATATTATTTATTTATTCTATATTATATTTTACATTTTTTTTTTACCTTTTATATTATTATAATATATAATTTGATTTTTCTAATCTTTAAATTATATCTTATAAAGTTTTGTTTGGATAGATTGTTTTCATAAAATCAAAATGTCCTTTATTTATTAATTGTTCAGTAGAATGTATATATTAGCATCTATTACCATACTAACACATTCCATAAATAAAAAACTTTTTGCAAGGTTAAGATTTATAATTTTAATGCAAATGAATTTTCTCTTAAAGTTATTCTTTTCCATGAGCAAATGAACACTATATTTTTTAATATAAAATTACTTTAATTATATATTTAATATTTACTTTATCTTCGAATTAACAATATCCAATAGTAACCCAATTTTTACATAGTTCTGTTTTTAGTTTTTGAGTATATTAGTCAATAAATTTTTTTTTTTCTACTGTTGAAGAAAATACTAATTTTTTAGGTTTTACTCTATTATATAAATTTTAAATATAAATATTATATAAATAATATATATATATATATATTTTACGCAATTAAAAATTAATTATTTGAATTTTTGTTTTATTACAAGCTTTAATTAAAATTTAATTTTTTAGAATCATTTTAAGAATTATGATTGTCATCAGATTCAGTTTAATAGGGAGAAGAAGCTTTAGTCGAACAATTATATATATAGCTCTATTTTTTATTTTTTATTTAATATTATTTAGAATTTTAAAAATTAAATTTTAATTATTAATTTAATATTAAAATAAAATAAAATAAAAATACTATTGTTTCTAAAGAATCTGCCTTAAACTCATTTTTTTCACAATTCATTTCTTTTTTATTTTAGAAGATTTCATATTTATTTTAATAAACAATCGAATTATAAAAAAAAAAAATTTAGAAGCTTTTTAGTGATTTTACTTTACTTTTTATTATTTCTTTTTAATATTCTTTTTTTAAAAAACTTTTTTTTTAATTTTTTTTTTATTTTATGAAATAATCTATTATATTATATTCGATTTAATATTTTGAAAAATAAATAATTAATATAACTTTAGAAAAATGCTAAAATAAACGTAATTATATAAAAATAAATAAAAAATATAAACGAATTATATTTCGTTAAAAAATAAAAATAAAAATATTAATATTATTAATTTTTTATTAAAATAAAAATTTAAGTAAATGAAAAATATAGTTTTTATAATATTTATAATACATATAATAATTATATTACATATTAAAAAATATATTTTTATTGTATTTAATATATAATATATTTTCTAAATTCATTAAATTATATAATATATATTAACTTCAATTTATATTTATTTCGATAATTATTAATTTATTTATTTTTTTTTTTTTATAAAAGCTGCTTTAATTAATAAAAATATTTTATAAAATTATTTAAAAAAATTAATTATAAATATATTTTGCTTATAAATCTTATAATAAAACTAAGGAAAATTATAACTATATATATTATTATATTATAATATTAAAATAAAATATTTTTTTTTAAGTTATTTGATATATATATATATAAATATTTTAATAATGTACAAATAAACTCAATATTTTAACAAAATGTTTATATAGATATATCTAAATTATTTTATAATTCATAATATATTTATTTATTTTAAAATAAAATATATTAATGAAAATATTTATTTTAAATTTAATTTTATTATTAACAATATATACTTTATAAAAATAAATTAAATTATAAAATTAATAATTTTAAATTATATTATTAATATTTTTAAATATATATATTAAATATAAAAAATATTATTTAAAATTGACAAATATATATATATAATCAAAATTCATATAATATAAATTAAAAATAAATAATAATACAATTAATGTTAACCTTTGGAGATATTCAAGTTCATGAATAAAGACTCGGTCATATAAAATCCGACCCAAAGTAATAATAATAGTAACCATAATAAATCGAATTTAATGATGAATTAAAAAAACAAATTAATATATAAACCAAGAAAATGATATGAATCATGAAAACTGCGAATAAAAAAATAAATAATAGTAAAATTAATTATAATAATCATCTAAATAAACAATAAATCCTTCAAATGATTAGTTTAAATTTATAATATAATCCCCAAAAAATCGTTATGAATGCTTGGATAAATTAAAATTTCCCAATAACCAACAAAATTAAGATTAAACAAACAATTTATAATCTATTTAAGATTAAACATTATTCAATAATAGATAAAATTAATCTATTTTAATTCAAATTTAAAGAACAAAAAAGTTTTATTTAATGAAGAATTTATTGATCATTTTAATTCTAATACTATTTGATTTTATATCAATTTTAATATAAGATTTAATTCAAAAAAAAACACAAACTACAGAACTTTTAATTATAGGAATAATAGTATATATTTTTGAAATATTTCTAGTGATTATTTTAATATTTTTATCTTATTTAAAAACTCATATATTTTAAAAGGCCAAATAATGCTTATAAATAATTACATTAATTATATATGTAGAATTAAAGCTTAACTATTTAAACTATGAAAATAAAAATATTGAAAATATAGAATTATTTTATTTTGTATTTATATATGCAATAATACTATCTTCCTATATCATGTAAAAAGATCTTAATTACCTTTATAAAATTTCAATCTTATTCTGTTCTTTTTTCCATATAATATGGAAACTTAAAGCAATGAACGTCAAAAACATATTATCATTATCTTTAATAATTATTTCTTATATTTCGTATTTATGTTTAGAGAAAAAAAGAAAGTAAAAACCATAAATTAAAAATAAAAAGATACAAAATATTTAATAAAATTCATAAAATATATATTAATTAAACTCGCCTAACTTTGGAAATTGTCAAAATTTTTAAAACTGTACAAATATAAATTAATAAATAATTATTTCTAAAGAAAATAATAATAATATAATAAACTAAATTGTTTCCCCTAAAATAAATAAAAATTAATTTATTTCACCACGTGAAAATATAAATTCCTTACGATAATGCGTAGAAAAAAATAATAATAATAATAATGATGATGATAATAATATATAATAATAATAATAATAATAATAATAATAATAATAATAATTATAAAAATAATAATAATGACAATAATGATAATAATGACAATAATAATTATAATGCTATTATTAATACTAATAATAATAACTCTGTTTATTATACTAATAATACTAATAATAATAATAATATTTCATTTTATCCTGAAAATTAAACTGAAGAATTCTAAAGGACTAAAGAAATATTATAAAATAATTCTTAACATAGTAGAAACAGTATATAATATAAATAGTCATAATTAGATTTGGAAGATAGTATTAAAATTGATGGATATATGAATAAAAATAATACTAATAATAATATTTTTCAACACGATGCAAATAATCAATATTTGATTGAATATAATTAATAAAATAAATAAATTGACCATAATTTTAAACTATAAATCTAAGATATTCTCCTAATGAACATAAATAACGGTATAATTCTCATAAACTAAGAATTATAGGACATATCATATGCAAACTAATAATCTTTATGTATATTTAATTGTTAAATAGACACCTTGTTTTCCTAATTAATGTCCTTAAAGAACATTTACAGTTATAAAGAATAAATAAATAACTTAAAAGAAATACTAGGCTAATTTAATAAACCTTTATAAGTATCAGAACTATCTACATTGAAGGGATTATTTAAGAATTTCTACTACTAAAAAGAGACTATGTACTGTATATTACCGAGAAGTTAAGAAAATCTAGAGAAAAAAGAATAAAATAATCAAGTACATCTAAAAGAATTTTTCTTATGTAATTCAATTTTGGAAATAGAATTGACTCGTGTAAAATTTGAAAATGATAAATATGTACTTTTTAACATAAAAAAACAGGATTTTACTAACCCTTTTGTAGTTATATAATCTTCTTTATAAAATTTTTAATATTTTATAAGCAAAATGATATCTGAAATATCTATTGATATGAAAGATATTAAAGAATATTTTATGAAAATGAAAAATATCCCTAAATAACAAATCGATTATCACGGTTGCATAGGAAAAGTAGACTGTATGAATGAATTTTTGTAAGATTTTTTAACTTCCTCTTTATTATTAACAGGCCTTTTTATACCTAATAAGAAATAAATTGACCTCTAAAAACTTATAATGAATGTAATAGAGAAAATGTAAGATAGATCTAATAATAAATACAAAATTAAACTTACTTATGATTAAAATGCACCTATATAAATTATATAAGATAGCTAAATTCTTGATAGAGTTTTTTATAATTTGTTACTATATTTTGTTGATCTTAATGAAAATTCAATAATTAAAATTAAAGTTATAAATTAATAATAAATTAATTAATAATCTCATTTAAATGTAAATATATTAATAAAAAAAAATATATATATAAATAAATGATTAAAAAAATAAATATAAATATATATATATATATATATATATATATATATATATTATATATATATATATATATATATACATATTTTTATTTATATTTAGGTTAATATTAGTTGTTAAAATAATTAAATCTTTTAAAAAACTGATGTTTAATATTCAAATTTTTCTTTAAATCAAAAAAATGCTAATATTACAAATATTTATATGCTTGAAAATATGCATTATGGTGTACTCTTAAGTAATAGTATTATTCAAAAAATTGAACCTTTTTAAAATGGTATTATTTTTAGTTCTTTTAAGTAAATTTCGTTTAATTTTAATTTAAGTCTGGTATGATTTTTAATTTTGGATAATTATATATATATTTATATAATTAAAAAAAATATCTATATTTTTATATCTTAATAAAAGAGTTTATATTTTAATTTAATTATTAAAAATGATTTTATATTTTAATATAAAATATTAGAATGAATATTTAATTATAATATTTAGTTTAATATTAATTGTTATTTTATTTTTTATAAATAATATATATTTTTTTAATTATATTAATAAAAATATTAAAATACTTTCATTATATATATTATTTTATGAAAAGTAAATAATTTTTTAATCCTACATTCAAATGCAAGAAAACTATGATTTTCTATATATTATTTATAAAAATTAATTTTTTGAATATATACATATATAATTAAGTTATAAAATTACTATTATTTAATTGTTCTAATTTCACTTTAATTTAATCTAATTTTTTATTAATTTTTTTTTATAAAAAAAATAGTCAAATATAATATTTACTTAATAAAGTTTTTCATATCTAAATTTTCTTATGTTAATCTTTAATTTTCGACCCTCAATTCATGAATAATTTTATTTATATCTCCAGAACTTTATATAAATAATATATTATATATTATTTCAATAAAAGTGAATAAATTACACATTAGAATTATACATATGTTCATATTTAGTCTAAACTTAAATATTGCTTCCTTTTAAGTTTTATAATTATAATCTTAATTATTCAATTTCGTATTACTTTTCATTATTACTTTAAACATATTGAGCAAATCTTTCTTTTAAATCTGAAATAACTTCATCTTTTTCCCTTTTTTTTTTAAAAAAAAAATATTAATAATTAACTAATCTATTTTTCCTCATATTTTATTATAAAAAAATATACCTTAATTATATAACATATTAATTATTATCGGTTTACTTATAAGAAATTCTCATATTGTTAATTTCATTATCTTTTTAAATAATAATTTATTATAATCTTTAAACTTCACCTTTATTTTATTCCAAGTTCATAGTAATACCTTTCTAGAATTCCAATTCTTATCTAAAAAAAAAAATATATATATAAATAAATTTAAAAAACAAAAAAACCTTAATTTCATAATTAAACTATCTCTTTCTGTTAATTAATTTTAAAGTAATTAAATATTTTAAGTAATTTAATCTAATTAATTTCTATAAGTATAAGAGGATTTTTTCTAATTTTCAATCTCTTAATTAAGTTTGTTATTTTAAACTATGAGTTATTCATTTTGGCTTTTGAATTATATATACTAGTTTTCTAAAAGTTAGGTATTTTTAACTCTTTATTCCAACTATTAAAGTTACTGTTAAAGTACGTAATTTTCTTCAGTAAAATTTCCTTTTTTTTATTCCATTTCTTTAATGTAAATGTCTTTTTAAGCTATTTATTATTATAAAGTTTATATTTAAAGTAAATATTTTTCAGTGGAATTTGAATTCTATAATTATTTTATTTATTATTATAATTATTCGATTTATAATGTATATTTTTCATTTGTGGAACTTTGAATTGTCGTTATTTAATATTAAGCTTATTGTAATTATTATTATAATTAATTTATTTGAACTAAATATTTTTCAGAGGAGTTTTATTAAATATTTACTATTTATGATTCTTTTAATTATAATTATTATTTTAATTATTCTATTTAAACTGAATTTTATTAAGAGCTATTATTTTATTAAATATTTATTATTAGCATTTCCTTTTATTTTAATTATTATTACAACTATTCTATTTATACTAAATATTTATCAACATTAGCATTATTTTATATACTGATAATCTACATATCTTTTTATTTCAATTATTATTATAATTATTCGATTTATATTAAGTATTATTAAGAACTATTTTACTAAATATTATTAATTTAAACTTCTTTTTATTATAATTATTATTTTAATTATTCTATTTAAACTAGATATTATTAGGAATTATTTTATTAAATACTTACTATTTATAAATCCTTTTATTTTAATTATTATTACAATTGCTCTATTTAAATTAAATACTTTTCAACATTTACATTATTTTATATACTAATGATTTAATTTTCCTTTTATTTTAATTATTATTTTAATTATTCAATTTAAACTAAATATTGTTATGAAGAATTCTGTTAACTATTTATTATTTATGATTCTTTTAATTATAATTATTATTTTAATTATTCTATTTAAACTGAATTTTATTAAGAGTTATTATTTTATTAAATATTCATTATTTGTATGTCCTTTTATTTTAATTATTATTATAACTATTCTATTTAGACTAAATATTTATCAATATTAACATTATTTTATATACTTATAATCTACATTTCCTTTTATTTCAGTTATTATTATAATTATTCGAATTATATTAAGTATTATTAAGAACTTTTTTATTAAACATTTGTAATTTCAACTTCTTTTTATTATAATTATTATTTTAATTATTCAATTTAAACTAAATATTGCTAAGAGCTATTTTGCTAAATATTAATTATTTACATATCTTTTTATTTCAGTTATTATTACAATTATTCTATTTATACTAAATATTTATCACCGTTATTCTATATATTGACATTTTACATATCCTTTTATTTCAGTTATTATTATAATTATTCAATTTATCCTAAATATTAAGCACTTACAACTTTATTAATATTCTGTATTTAAAGTTCAAAATCGGAACATTTATTCTTTAAATCTAATATATTCTAGTCTCTTATCTTCAATTAAGATAATGTTTATTATAATTATTATTCTAATTCAGCCATTTAGTTATTTCCTTAGCTTTAGAACTATGTATTTTATATTTAAAATTCATTTATTTATCTTTTGTATGTTTCTATTTAGGATATTTGAAGTTAATATGATGAAATTCTACCCTTTAAATCTGATATATCTTATTCTTTTATCCTCAATTCCTATTATAAAGATCTTATTTAAATTTCATATTGTGAAGATTATGATATCAAAGCTTATTATTTTTAGAGTTATTATTCTAATTAAATTATTTGTTGTTCATATGAGTAAACCTTCTACTCATATTATGAGTAAGAAGATAATTACTTTTATAATCTATCTAATTCAGTTGATAAATAAACAATTCTTTCTAATTATTAGGTATTATTTTATTGCGAATTTTCTATAAAAAAAAAAAAAAAAATATATTTTTTTATTTATTTATTTATTTTTACAATTTTTGACTGTTTCTATGTCTTTTTACCTTTTATAGATATATTTTTTTATATATATTCTATTTTTTTTAAAAAAAATACTATAATTAGCGGGTTAAAGTTTATATTTATTGCATATATATTTGAGAGGATTATTCTTAATTTAAAAGCTGGTTTAATTCTTCTTCTTTAATTCTATATATATTTATATATTTTAAAAATATAGTTTTTTTTTTTTAATACTAGACTAATTCAACCAATTTCAAATTATCATCTTTTAATTCCTCATTCATATATTATAATTATTAAATATCTTATTACAAATTATTAATTAAAGAATTTTTTTATCTATTTATTTTTTAAACAAAAATTAAATTTAAATTTAAATTTAAAAAAAAAAAATTATAACTTTAATTCAAATTATAAAGAGTTATTTTCACTTCCAACATTTTCAAATTTACCAACTCTTTATATTAAAAATACAAAAAATATATATAAATGTTTAAATACTTTTAATCAGAAGAAATAGTCATTTATGATTATTTATTCTATTAAGTATGTAAAATTTAAGGTTATTCTTATGTTTTATACGCATAAGTATTTTATTCAACTTCTTTATTTTAATTGTTTACAGATAAATTTTTAGGAGCATATTAGTATACTACTTAATTAGATTAAGTGATTTATGAAGCCAGTTATAATGCATAATTTTTATGTTAAATCTTTTATTTATTTTAAATATATAAATATACATATAAAAATGTATCTCTTTTGTAAATATGAATATACATTTTCTTCAGCTAATTAATTTAATTATAATTATTCAGAATTACTTTCTTAAACTGTAGTTTTTGTAGTTCCTGTTCTTTTTATTTAATCATAATTATCTAAAAAATAAATGTAATTATAATTATTTATTATTTTATTTTTAATTTTTGTTGTTGCCTTGTTATTATCCAAATGATTAATAACCACTTTTTTTTTTTAATAAAATAAATTATTATTTAAATTAATATAGTAATTTTCTAATTTAAGTATATTATTTTTTTTTACCTAAAAAATTAAGAATTTTGTATTTATGGATAATGGCTACTTTAATATTAATAAGAATATCTACCACCATCTACCTATTATTATTATTATTATTATACAGAACTAGATTATAATATTTGATTATTATTATTATCGTTCTGCTCTACATATGAGTTTGTTACTACTTATGGATTTGAAACATAATAAGCTTGCTAAGACGAATTTTAAAACGACATATTTTTTATTTTATTTTTAAATAAATTTATTAATAAATATATTTTTTTTTCTTTTTATAAATTTTTATTTAAATAATTCTTTTTTTAATATTTATTTTATAATATTTTATTGTATTATATTTAAAATATTATTTAGTATTAAATTATCTATATATTTAAGAAAAATTTTTCTGCTAACGTTTTTTTTATGTAAATTATATAAAATAAATATTTCATAAATTGTATACTTTTTTTATAAATAAAAGAAAAAAGAAAAACTAATTTTTTTTTTTATCATTTCATTAAAAATAAAAATAAAAAATATTTTGATTTTTAGAATAAAAATAAAATCTATCAAATTAAAAATTTATATATAAAATATGAAAATTAATTTTAAGAAGAGAAGTTGTTATTTTTATTTATTTTAAATATTTAATAATATTATTTGTTTCTTTAAATATATTATTTTTTATATCGTTGTTTTTTATTTACTGTGGTTTGTTTTTTATTTACTGTGATTTGTTTTTTAAAAAACTCAATCATCTAAAAAAAAAGACGAGAATTATAGATAATAACATTTTTATTTTGATTGAGTTTGATAAATAATATAAACAAGTAATATGACAATATAAAAATATATATTTATTAGTTTTTTACTAAATTAGGAATTAAATTAATAAAATTTTATTAAATGTATATTTGTATTTTATAATGTATAATACATAAAATTTAATATTAAAAATTTTTAATAAAAAATCATATACGCATGTACGATTAATGTCAAAATATTTACTAAACCAAAATTAAATAAAAATTTGAATTATATAATAATAACTACCTATTATAAAAAATCATTATAAACAATTAATAAAGTTTGATAAAATTATTATAATGAAACTTTATAATATATTTAACATATAATTCTATTTTAAATAAAACACAAGTATTGCAATTATTTTTGCTTTTACATAATATATAAAAAATACATTGTTTAAATATATAATTAGTTTATAAATATTGAATTATTATAAAATAAAATAATATTAATTTATCACATCTTTCAAATGATTTTTACAATCAAAATATTATATGATTTAATGATTTTACTGTATCAAAAAGTTTACTTTTAAATATAAAAATAAATTAAATATAAAAATTTAAAATAAATTACCAATTATATAAATCCCAATATGTTAAATACCCTTTTTTTAAATATCAGCATCTTTAAACAATCTATGTAAAAAAATACAATATATAATTATAAAATAAATATATAAATTTACTGTTTAGAAAAGTTTAAAGCTGTGTCATGATGTTTTTTTTACACATTAAAGGATGTAAAAGTACTTCTATTTCAAGTCTAGTAAGAAATCTTTTTTAATCTAAATCTAAATAATTAAATGCATGAATTAATTCCCCTTAAGATTTAAAATTGCATAAATCCATTAAAATATTACCAACAATATTTATTTCTAAAACATTTTTATTATTCTAAAAATTAATTTAATATAGTAATTTTATTTTTTTAATTTATTTATTAAAAAAAAGAAATCTTACTATATCTAAAAATTCGAAAAATCTTTCAACATCTTGAATTTAAATATAAGGCAAGTTTTAACGAATATTAATTTAAAATTAAGCGAAATTAACCTAAATTTAATTATTAAAAATTATATCAAACATTCTTTCGGCAGTAGAATTATATAAACTAAAGAGTTCTACAAAGTATTATCTATCACTATGATTATTACATAAAGACTTAAAATCAAATGGTTATTTAATAGATTAATTAATAAGTGCATAATCATAAATATAATTATTTTTAGCATTTGAAATATTATTATTGTCAATATAACTATTAGAAGGTAAATTATATTATTACGAAAAATTTGTTTATTAAAATATGTTTTATTTTTATATATTTTAACTATAAATAATATTTGATTATGAAGTTTCAGTATTATATTAAAAGTCTGTTTTTAAGAGTATTTTTTATTAACTTTTTGGTGAATAAGATACTCCAATGTTTTCTTTGTCGAATTAAATATTACATTATTTCAATAATTAAGGGGAAGTAAAAAGATCTTAATATTTCTTCTTTATATAATCTTATGTAGGGCTTATTTTTTCTATATTTCTAGATGGTGAAATAGCTGCAATTAAAATATCCTATTTATAAAATGTAAATTATTTATATATATATATATAAAAAATACTTTATTAACTGATTTATTAGCAATTCCATTTAAATATTTTTTCCTGTATTATGGAGATTTAAGTATTTATAATTCTTAGTTAATAATATTATTGTTATTAGTTAAAGCCTCAATTTTTTAATTAGGAGTATTGAAATTATTATTTTATTTTTATTTAAAATGATTGCTTACTAAGCTATTATAACATATATTTTCTTTTTAATTTTCCATATTATTAAAAGGTATATTAATTGATAATTCTACATTTGAACAGAATTTTTATTAATCTTAGTTTTATTCTTATTCATTTATTTATTCTTGTTCATTTAAATTTTATTCTTATTCTTATTTTTATTTTAAATTACTTTGATTATATTAACATTCTTAATAAGCTTTTTCCATTTAACTTTCAAAATTTGTTTAAATACATTCAGTTAGGCTATCTAATTATTATTATTTTCCATTTATTTTTAATTCTTGATGTTCTTCTTCTTCTATTTCTTGAATTTCCTCAATTTTATTTTTTTGTGGAGTCTTTTATATTTAAGAAACTAGCTTTATAGGATGATTAATTGGTGTATAAGGCTCCTCTAATGAAATTTTTTTGTTTAAATTCAATAAAAATTCATAATTTTATTCATTTTCTAGACGAGACCTTAAAGGAGCTCTTTATACTTCCGACAAAATACGAACTGGATGATTCATAGGAGTATGCAAATCATCATTTATAGAAGATTATTTATTTAAAAAAAGTGGAATCATTTATTATTATTCAATATTAACTTATTCATCTTTATCTTCTTATTCTTGCTCTTCTTGTTCTTCTTGTTCTTTTTGTTCTTCTTGTTCTTCTTGATTTTATATTTAGCTTGATGAAAGGTTTTTTTAGCTTATTATTTTTTCAAAAGATTAATTTTTTTGGGTATATTTTTATTCATTTATATTTTCAGATATAATATTATTCGATTATATATTTTAGTATGTTTAAGGAATAAAATCATCGTATTCTTGTAAATAGTTATAATCTTTTTCAAAATATATTGATTCAGTTTAATCTGGTAAAGTTTATTATTATTTTAAATATTATGTAAAGTTTTCACCTTCTTTATTAAAATATTATGCTTAAAGATAATGATTTCCAAATTTATTTTAATTTTATTAATTTTCCTTGATTTAATAAAAAAAAAAAAAAAATTATATTTTTATTTTATAAAATTATTTTTAATATTATTTTTTTATATAATTTTTGAATATTTTTTTTTTTTTTTTTCAAATAAAAATAAAAATACATTGTATAAGTTTTCATCTGATTATTGTTAATTTTTTTTTTAATCTTTAACATTTTATAATGTGTTTATTCCATAAGATTAATGTGATTGATTCGTTTTAAATGATTACTACAAAGGACTTTAATTATATGATTTTCCTTTTAATTTGTTTAAAAATTTTCTCAATTCTAATTGAAGATTTGATAAATCTTTAAATTTATTTTATAAAAAAATTAATTTTTTTTTAAAATTTTATAAAATTTTTCGTTATTGAATAGTGTAAATATTTATTAACCTTATTTTTTTTTATTTTTTAATAATAAATCTTCTAGTTCAGCTGAATATCCTTCTTTAATTATATTTCTTAAAATCATTCTATCATCTTTCATGATTTCTTTATTTAAATATATAAGTATATTTTATATACAAAACTTTAAATTAAAAAATTTTATACAAGTGCATTTTTAAAGTAAATCTAATATTTCAGTTTATTCATTTTTTGAAATATTTGATTTTGAACTACTACTTTTACATTAACTTGAATTTTATTAATTGTTTTAACTTATTTTGTTTGATGATGATTATTTATTACAATTATTAAACATTTTTTTTAAATTTTTTAAATTTTTATTTTTAAAATTTTGTAAATATTCTTTATAATATTAAATATTAATAAAATTATAATAAATAAAAAATATAATTAAAAATTTAAAAAAAAAGATAAACTATAAATTTTAATATTTAAACTATAAAAATCATTTCGATAAAGATATAAATTTATATATTAAATAAAAAAAAAAATAGAAATTTCAAATTTCAAATTATTTGTATAAAAATAAAAATAAAAATAATTTATGTATATATAAATAAAAGTAAAAATAAAAAAAAATGATTTACATAAAAAAAGATTCAAAGAAAAAAAAAAAAATTATATTTATTAAATAAAAATAATATTATTAAATTTAATATGAACTTTAGAATAATTATATTCATGATAAATTCGAAAATAAAAATAAATAAATAAATGTATTAAATTAAAAAAAAATATAAAAAAATAAATTTATAAATATATATAATATATAAAAATATTTAATATATTTATATATATATATTTAAAAATATATATTATTTATTATATATTTATGAACATTATTTTATATTATATTATATGTTATTTTTAAATAATATACATAAAAATATTTTTATTTATTTTTTTGTTTAAAAAAAATGTCTTTTAAAGATATATACGAATTTATAATTTTAAATGAAAGACGTTAATTATTATATCATTTTGATATAGTTTAAAACAAAGAATCTGAACTTGATAAATTAGAAGAATTATAAAAAGAAGTTAGAATTTAAAATTTAAATGGACTTGTAGCAGGATTAAAAGTTTTAAATTAAAAGTTTTCACCTTTTGCTAGTTCAAACGTTAAATATCTTAAAAGTAATTATTATAAATTGTCTTTATATGATACACCTGGAGGAATAAAATTAATACTTTTATCATCAAGTAATGATGTTGAATATACAGATATATTGTCTGATATTTATTAAAAAGGATATGTTGAATTTGTACAAAGAAATCCTTTCTATTAAATAGGAACAATAATATAAATTCCATTATTTTCTTAAAAAATATAAGAAATTTTTACATAAAGATGAAATGATTAGTATATTTTATTAAAAAATAAAAAAATTGTATTTAAAAATATCATTATGTTTAAAAATATAAATAAATTTAATTTATATTTATATAATCATATATTAAAAAATTTATATATTATAATATATATATATTTATATATTATAAATATATATATAAATAATTTTAAATCAATATCCATATTTTTCTTACAATTTTTTATTCACATCATGATAATATTCATTCATTTCATCCATAAATGTTAAATCAATAATTTATTCATTTTTATTTTTTATATTTCTATTTTATGGTTTTTAACAAGCTGAGTATTATTTAATATTTTCTTCTTAATTTTCTTATATATTATCTTTTGTTTATTAATATTACCTTTCAAAATTAATATATTCATATTATTATTAAATTTTTTATTATCTTTTAAGCTCTTCTTTTGTAATTTTAAGAATTTCTTCTTCGTCTTATATATCATTATCTTAAAATCTTTTTATTTTTATATCTTATAATTATTATAAAGCTTATCCGATTTTGTCTTATTTATTAAAACTTTATTATAAAATGGATTGATTATCATTCTTTTAATTTTCTTAATTTTTATTTAATAAATTTATCTAAATATCTTTGTTTTCTTCAGGTTTTATGTAACTTAACAATTCTGATATTCTTTGAAAAATAAATAAATATATATATATATATATATATATATATATATATATATATATATATATACTTTAATAATTTATATATATATTTATTTTTTATATTCATACAATTCAATTTCTTCAGTTAAATTTTTTATTTTATTAAAAAAATTTTATCTGCTTTCATTTTTTAGATTATTTTCTGTTTATCTCATATAAATATCTAAATCATCATCACTTTCATTATTTTAATTATTTCCTTAAATTAAATCAAGAACTTAAATATTTAATTAATTTTTTTCTTCTATTAATCTTTCCATTTTTTATTTTAATCCCCAATAATTTTCTGTAGTTTTTTCTAATTTTTACATAATTTCTTTTTTCCTTTATTACGGATTTTTTTTTACTTCTTTTTTTTAATCTAATGTTCTGTCAAAATATTCATCTTTTTCATCAAATTCTTCTTAATTTTCAAATTTATTCAAATTTTTTTTTTTTTCTAATTTTAAAAAAATAAATATTTATTTATAAATAATATATATATTTACTTTATTCTTCTAATTCTTCTACGTTTTCTTCAAAAATCGATAAACGGACATTATTTTCTGCCATGTCTAAATTTTATTATGTTTCTATTAATTTCGCTTATAAATTTTCCTTTTTTAATCTCAATTTTTCATCTAATCCATATTCTCGTTGTTCTTTTTTTATTAATTCTTACATTTCCTATTCTACATTTCTATATTTGGACAATTTCTCTTCATATTTTTCGATTTTTTCTATTTATTTTTCATTTAAATCCGGCAATCTTTTTAATAATTCTGGAATTAAAGCAATTTAACTTTCGTCTTGATATTAATAAACTTCTTATTCATCATCAATACCCCATGTAACTCCACTAAATTCTTCTTATTTATTATCTTTCCCTTTAAATTGCTTACTTTATTTCATTTCTTATTTATAATAAGGATCGTTTTCCCTTAATTTTATATATATTTCTTTAAATTACCATCCTTTCTTTTATTATGGTTTTTATATATTTTCTGAATTATTTTCTATATTTTTCTCAATCTCTTCTTTTTCTACTTCTAAACATCTCAAAATATAAATTCTGGAAGATTATCCAAACCTTATTTAATCAAAAACATTTAATTTATGGTAAATTTAAGATGGTAAAGCTTTATTATTTACATAAGTCTTATGCGTACTTTTCATATCATACATAAATATATCGCCATTATTTTTATGTTGAATTATTGCATGTTTTCTTGATATGGATGGGTGATCTAATATTATATCACATAATTCTTTTTATTTCCCTATTAGTATAAATTATTTATATGAAATTTCGATTTTTTCAATTTCAATTCCTATTTTTTATTACTTCTAAGCTTTTTTTTTTATATAAATTAATTTATAGTTATTTTTATAAATTATTTATAGTCTTTTTTTTTTACAAATATTTATGCTTTGAATTAGACGACCATTAAGGTAATGTGTAATCTTCTAAAGATGTTTCTTTGTTCATTTTTATTTTTATTGAAAAAAAGAATATATAAAGATTTGGATAAATTTTTTATATTAAATAAAATATATATATATAATGTATAATATTTTGAATAGTATTTTTTTTTATAAAATATATTAATTAAATAGACAATAATTAATATACATTTATTTATTTATCATAAAATTTCTTATTTTTTATTAAAAATATTTTTTTTTAAATATTTATATAAAAAAAAAAATATAAGCATAAAAAAATTAATTAATTCTGAATTATAAATCGTTAAAATTAATAATAAATTTATATAATTTATATATTAATTATAATAAATAATTATAAAAATAAAATTTATAATATCCCCTATTTTACATTTTATTATTTTTATTAAAAGAAAAAAAAATGTTTAAAACTCCTAGAGCGAAATTATATTAAGGATTTGATATTAAAAGTAGTTTCTAATCATCAAGTCATTAAAGTTTTATGTGTAGATCAAATTTAGTTACTCCTAAAAATGATTTTTTTTTCGAAAATAAGTTTTAATCTCCTACAAATGATAATAAACAGCCAATTAAATTTGAAAATCTGGTAAAATTAATACATAATTTAATATTTTCGAGTACAAAACTTCGAATAATTATAACTGGAAATTAATTAGAGAAAGATTTTAATGTAAAAGTGTGGGAACAGGATTTAAAAGCATTGAAATAAAATATATTATGTTTCCGAAAAGAATAAAAAAGTATTGACATTGAAGAAAGGCATCGAAAAATGAAAGATATCGAATCGCAAATAAAAAAGACTGAAGACTTAAAAAAATATTAGTTAAAATTTAAAGAAAAAAAGAATATAATAAAGTAATTAAATTAAATAATAGAAGAAAAAGAAAAGAAAATAAATTAATTAGAACATTTTTTTATTTAATATCCATATGAGGATTTGAGAGATTTTTTAAATTAAATTTAAATTTGTAATGATTGGGTTTTTAAATATTTCGAGTTTAGTGTAAAAAAAAATAAATTAATGAAAACTATTTTAGGAGAAGGAATAAAAAATTAAGAAATTTAAAATATGATTGATTTTTTAAATGAAAAATAATAAAATTTATTAAAAGGAAACGATTTAAAGAAAAACTAAAAATAATATGGAGAATTTTTTGTAGTAAATAATAAAAATAATAATGAAAATTTTCTTGAAAAAGAAATGTTTTATTAAGAATAAATTATTAAAATTAATATAGAAAAATAAAAATTAAATTAAAAATTAGAAAATTTAGAAAAAGAAATTTAAAAAAATTAATTAAACTTAAAATAATAATATAATCAAAAAAATAAAGCAAATGAAAAAAATAAAATAAATGAAAAAAATAATTAAATAGATTAAAATATTGAAAGTAATTAAAAGTTTGAAGATTTATTAGCTTAATTTTAAATTCTTAAATAAGAAAATGATAGCCTTTAATTAAAATTAAACTAATAAGAAAATAATTAAAATTTTGAAGATTTATTAGCTTAATTTTAAATCCTTAAATAAGATAATAATAATCTTTAATTAAAATTAAACTAATAAGAAAATAATTAAAAGTTTGAAGATTTATTAGCTTAACTTCAAATTCATAAATAAGAAAATAATAGCCTTTAATAAAAATTAAACTAATAAGAAAATAATTAAAAGTTTGAAGATTTATTAGCTTAATTTTAAATTCTTAAATAAGAAAATGATAGCCTTTAATAAAAATTAAACTAATAAGAAAAATAATACTAAGATCTTTTTTAAAAATAAGATATTGAAAATTAATAAAAACTCAAAAATATTAATGAAAATCTACAAAAATAAATATAAAATAATAAATAATATTAACAAAAAATAAATTCAAAATAAGAATTATCCAATCAAAATCTAAAAGAAATTGAAGAAAAATAATAACAAATAGAATATAAAAATTAATAAATATAACAAAAAGAATAAGAAAATACAAAAATAAAGGAGTAATACGAAAACTTAAAAGAACAATATGAAGATTCAAAATAATAATATGTAAACTTAAAGGAATAGCAAAAAAGTCTTTAATAAGAACTTGAAAATAGCATCTAAAAATTTTAATAAGCCGAATAATAAATAATTAATCTGGAAAAAATGTTAGAAGTCTACAAAAATGAATAGTCAGAATTGGATTATTTAACTGAATAATTCGGTAAATAATAAGAATAAATGATAAAAATACAAGACGAAAATATAAAATTATAATAAGAAGTTTAATAAATAAAAATAGAAAAAGAAGAAATCTTATAAAAACATGAAATTTCATATAAATAAGCATAAAAAAATATAAATACAATAAAAGAATTATAAGTAGAATTAATGTAAATAGAAGGACTTAAAAAAAAAGCAGAAATCGAAAAAGAAGAAAATATGAAATAAATAAAACCTCTAATTGAAAAATTAGAATCTAAAATAGAAATTTAAGAAAATATAAATAAGCAAAATAATGAAAATATACAATATCTTTAAGAAGAATTAGAAAAAGAAAAATCTGAAAAAAATCAAATTATTAGAATCTCGAAAAAAAGTCATGGAAATTAAACTGATTTTAATAATTAAAATTTAAGTTTTAGTAAAAATAATTATTAAAATACTCAAAGATAAAGTTAAACATTAAATTAAAATATAAACAATAGTGAAATTTTAACCATAAGATAAAATTAAGACATTAAATAAAATTAAAATAAAGACTTAAATATAAATTTTGATGAGTTCGAAGAAGATAATTAAAATGAGAATGAAAATAATTTAAATGAAAAAATAGACTAATTAGAAGAATAACTAATGTAAAAAATGGCTGAAATAATGGAAAAAAATAAAATAATTGAAGGTTAAAACGACTAATTATAACATTTATTAGAAGACTTAAATAAAAATACGAAAAAAACGAAAGAATTAGAACAAAATAATGCCAAATTATCAAAGAAAATTAATTAATTGGAAGAAAATTTAAACTAAAAATAAAATTCTATTGATTTTTGTTTATAAATACTAAATAAATTTGAATGTCTCAAATAAGAAGAAAATTTGGAAAAAAAGTAGAACAAATAATAAAAAAATATGAAGAAAAACTCAAGTTTAAAGAAGAAATTGAACATGCAAATAATAATAATCTAGATAGTTTTAATGAAGAATCTATATTTAAATAACTTGAAACAGGAAAGGAAGAAAGAAAAAATTAAAAAAATGATTACATTTTATAATTAGAAAAAAAATAGACGGAAATTAAACAGAAAAATAACACTTTAAATTTATTTTTGGAGGATTTTTAGGATGTTTTGCACACAAAAATAGTAAATTTGTTGAAGCAGAAAATTATTTATAAATAATATTCAATATTTTAAATTTTAATGATGATGAAAAAGCTTAATTAGTAGAAAAATTAAGCAAAAGCAAATCAGATAAAAAAAAACAATAGTTTAGTTACTTTTCCATAAATGATATATATATATAAAAATAAAATATGTTTATAGATATAT